GGAGACCTGCGGCTGCTCCCCCAACCCCGGCCAGCCCCACGCCATCTGACCACCAAAGCGAATCTGCTCCGGGGGCTCATCGGAGGCAGCAAGCAGTGTCCCAAGGGATGTTCCCAGCCCACGGCGCTGTGCTCACCTCTCCGCAGCCGGCCCACCGTGTGGGAGAAGCCGTAGTACTGATACGTGTCGCTCTTGCCCGGGTCCTCGCTGATGATGCCCAGGTTCTGGTTCCAGTGGGACCAGTTCACTTCGTCCACCCTGTGGGGAAGGTCAGACCCACAGGAGCTGCACAGGGGTGGCTGGGAGACAGGGTGGCAATGCCACCTGGCTCCAGACTAGTGCAAACTACCCAGCAAATAAACACGTGGCGACGGCACCCCAAAATGCTGCTCGCTCCGGTGGGAGAGGCTCCCGCGCTCCCGGTTCCAGGGTCCCCAGGGCTCCCAAGGGTACCTGCCTTTACCTGAAGCACCAGCGGCGGTCAGGCGTCCCATCAGTGCCCTTCCCCACGGTGACCATCTCCCCCGAGCGGAAGGCTCTCCGCAAGAATACAGGGAAGGAGCGCTCGATGTCCAGGATGGTGGTGGCCCACTGCCAGGGAGAGCAGGGACCCCTCAGCCACTTGAGGATGCCAGCAGGAGGGTCCCTCACCTAGGTGTGTGCTGCTTCGCTGGAGGTTGGGGTGCTGTAGTGCAGCTCCCACAGGGTGATACCTGCAGCTTCCAGATGTGCTTGCTCTCCTTGGAGACTTGGCCCACGGTCTCCCCCATGAGAGCGATGAGCATGTTGAGGAGCAGCACGAAGGTGAGGATGATGTAGGTGACGAGGAGGATGATGAAGACACCGGGGTACTTGGCGCTCTCGAGCATCTCCAGGTCGCCCATGCCGATGGTGAGCTTGAAGAGGTCGAGCAGGAAGGTGCTGAAGGTCTGGCTGTCGCGGCAGGAGGGGTAGGTGGGCACCGTGCAGTTGGACTGCTCCTCGCCGCAGGACTCGCTGCTGGGACATGGGTTGAGGAGGGACACCAGAGCTGCGGGAGGGAGGACAAGGATGGCAAGTCCACGGGGGCAGCAGCAAGGACCCCCCACATGACTACACTGGCTGAGCTGCCCCTCTCCACCGCAGGAGGCGAAGGCAGAGCGCGCAGGCGGGTAGGACGGAGCGGGGGCTCCACAGCCCCCTGCCCTGCCGTGCCAAGCCATGCCACAGGGTTCATCCTTCCCCCGAGCCCCAGCTCACCGGCCAGGGACCTACCTGATGCGTAGCCGATCATGAAGAGCAAGTAGACCAGGAGGAAGCGGAACAGGTCTTTGAAGAGGATCTGCAAGTGACGGAGAGGGGGGTGAGATGTGCTGGACCACAGCACCCAGCCCTGCGCTGGGGCACCGTTGCCAAGCCACGCTGCAGGGATGGCTGGGCCAAGAGCAGGGCTTTGATGATCCATGGGAAACCCTACAGAAAGCATGGAGGACCCTCCTTTTGGGCTGCACATCCATAGGAACACCAGCCCTGCTGGGGAAGGAGAAGACACCCGCTGCCACCGGACCTTCTGGATCATGATGCTGTAGGTCCCTGTCAGCTTGAGCCCCCGGGTGAAGTACAGCGCGTTCATCCATCCCAGGACCAAGGCGAAGACCATGACGGCCAGGTACGCCTCGATGCCGCCCAGGTACAGCCCCGCCGTGACGATCACCAGCACCGAGTAGATGAAGCTGGGGGAGACCTGGTGTCAGACCCTGCACCGACAGCCGCCGCTGGCTACCGCCCCTTGCAAGCCCGGGGGTGCTGGGGCTTGGGGAGGTCCCGGGGGTCCCCCACATACTAGAGCAGCTGGAAGGAGCCATCTATGAAGAAGGAGTTCACGCCTGGGCACTTCTTCATGAACAGATCTTTGATCTGGGGGAGAGAGGGAGAGGTTGGGGGGGACCCCTTGCACAGCAAGGTCCCCCTATCCGGGGGGTATCACGGCAGGGGCCAATGCCTTAGGACAAGGGGCTGTCGCCCTCGAGTCAGTCCCAGCATGGGGAGCACAAAGGCTTGGCTATCCCATGGGAAGACCCCCCCGCCCCGCCGCACTGACGTTTGTGAAGAAGAAGAGGATGCCGGTAAGAAGGGTGACGATCTCCCCAGCCAGGCGCAGGTAGTCGACAGTGGTGGTGTAGGGGTAGGGGGGCTGCAGGGAAAGGAGAGAGCTGAGCTGCTCCACCCTCCCGGGGCAGGCAGGGCTGCCTGGGGCAGAGACCTGGAAAACCGCCCTCCCAGGGCAGGAGGCACATCCTGTGGGGATGTGTCACGGTGCCGTGGGACTCACAGGGCCTTCCATGGGGCGGTAGTAGGCGACAAGGGTGAAGATGACCATGGCGC